CTCGTAATATACATCTCTACTAATACATACCAATTTGCCTCATCTTAAACATGCTCTGGCAGTTGATACTCCTTTTGCAAAGAGGGTATCAGACTATCGGGCAAATATGTTTTTGCTGCAACTGTATAGTTCTTTAAGAAACCCAAGCTTATGGTCATTACTTAAGCCATGGTACAACATTCTTTCAGGAGAAAGTAATGGAAATTTTTTGTTATGGTGAGTGGTGTTCTTCTGGGATTCTTACCTAACGGTGCTTTGTTAAAGTTTTTTCTAATTTCACTAACTTGAATAAAAAAATGGATCCAACGTGAAAATGTGTTGCACTAAGTAAATAACATGTGGACATGAAATGTCATTTTGAATATTTTATTGAAATTAAAGAAGAAAATGCGCTGATATCACTTTCTACATCCTGGCGACACGCGGACTTTTATGCTACGCTATTGACTTGCATCTATTTATTTCCTTTGTTTATTCATGGCATGTATGTTTTTTAAGTTTTTATGTGAGCTCTATTCATCCTCAATTCTACGAGATTACTGTTTCTGATACTCTTGATGATGCTTTTAGGAAAATGTCAAGACAAAACATCCTCAGTTACTGTACGAGTCCAAGTTATACAGGATTCTGCAGGGTGGAAGTAATCACTATTGATAGTTCCTTTTTCATCATTGGTCTTAAATGAACTCTTCTTGTCAATTGAATTTGGGTTCTAATTACAATAGTCCTTAAATTGCAGCTGGAATACCAAATGTAAGATGGTTTGGTGTGGAGGGAGACTACAATGTTCTAGTAATGGATTTGCTTGGGCCCAGTCTAGAAGATCTATTCAATTTTTGCAGTAGGAAACTTTCTCTGAAGACAGCTCTCATGCTTGCAGATCAAATGGTTAATTCTTAAATTTAATACTGATTTCAGTTCTTTCATCATCAAAAAGTGATATTCTCTTTTCTGCAACATTCATATATGCATAACTAAATTTGTTGATGTAAGCTTTATCAAATATTAACTCCAGATCAATCGTGTTGAATTTGTTCATTCTAAATCATTTTTACATCGAGACATCAAGCCGGACAATTTTCTCATGGGCTTGGGACGGCGTGCAAATCAGGTTATATTTGACGGAGTGTTTAATTTGGAGGATTCTGTTAAAAAAATGTATGCAGTCATTTTATATGTATACCACTGTCTCCAATGTAGGTCTACATCATTGACTTTGGTCTGGCCAAGAAATATAGAGACTCATCAACTCACCAACACATTCCTTACAGGTGAGACTAATGAGGCATTATTTCTGTCATCCATGACCAATTCTTTGCATCAGCTGTCCTGAGCTTACCGGATGGGTTTGCTTATATTTTATCTGTTTGAGATTGACAGGGATTTATTTACAACTTTCAGATGAATTTCATTTTGACTTCAATGAGAAATAATGACAGCCATTGCCAATTTTTTTCTCCCCACAAATTGTTATTCCCTCCCACCCCCACACCCCAAAAAAAAAAAAAAAAAAGATATTAAAGAGGCATGGTGTGAATAACACAAAGATTTAATGATAAATTGTGGATTGAATTTGTGAATACAACACAGTTGCATTTGTTTTTTCCTCTTCAGCACAAAGGCGTTTTCTGTGTCCTAAACTGTTGGTTATTATGGGATATGAAAGGCCAGTAACTGCAACATTGTGTTGATAGAACAAATGTATAATGATGTTTTGTAGGATTCGTGTCACTTCAATGGCTAAGACTTTTAGTGAATCTGATTAACCACAGGTCCCTAGTCACATGCTTAATTGAATTTAAGTAAATAATTTTTCTGGGAAAAAAAATGAACACAAAGAAAAGAAACGAAAATGTTTCCTTGTAAAGCTGGAAGTCTGTTGGTTTTGTTGTGGAATATCAGTGGTTTATATATTTACTTATCTGTTATGGTATTTTTTTCATTAATTTTCTGAATTTGCAAGTGTTGAATATTTTTGACATCCTCATCTATTGACTGGAAAGTTATGTGATTTTATTTTAATTTAAAGCTTAAGAAATTATATTACATTATATATATATACACTATCTTTTTTCTCTCAACACCAGTAAATATTGAAATGCTATTTGTTTTGCTTCTTTAGGTTTGATGTTAACTTTCCATTTGTGGATTGGCAAAAATGGTTATTTGATTACATTGACTGGCTTAAAAAGGCAAAAAGCAAGGAAAAATAGCGACACTGAAAGTTGAAAATATACTAGGCACATAAATCAAATTCACCTTGAATGCTAAAAGTTGTTTACCAATTGAAGCACTAAATTTTCTTTACATTACTATTTTTCGTTGCGGTATTTCAATATTGCAATGGCTTATTAAATAAGATGTAGCTCACTATGAATTAGAATTTCTGGATTATGCTAAACTAGTTATGTATTTAATGTACACCATCATTGACATTGCAGGGAGAACAAAAACTTGACTGGAACGGCACGATATGCAAGCATGAATACCCACCTGGGTATAGGTGAGCAATTCTTTCTANCGGCACGATATGCAAGCATGAATACCCACCTGGGTATAGGTGAGCAATTCTTTCTATTTGTAACTTTGTATTATTTTCCACTGCTTTGCTCATTAATTGAACATCCTTCTTTGTTCGAACTTTGGTGTCTTCTTATTAGAACAAAGCAGAAGAGATGATATGGAATCTCTTGGATATGTCCTTATGTACTTCTTAAGAGGAAGGTGACGGTTGCTGCGCGACTCGTTCTTTTTAGCGCCTTGTGCATGTTGAGCTTTGCGTCATGATATCTATTCTGTGCAGCCTTCCTTGGCAGGGATTGAAAGCTGGAACCAAGAAACAGAAGTATGAGAAAATAAGTGAGA